CTGCAGCTTACGAGAGCATAATATTTTCTCTACGAAAAGAGTATTCTTTAGTCGGTGTGTAGTCATTGATATGAAATAAGCTGACTGTGCATGTGCAACTTGTATCTACGAATAAAGGAAATTACTTTCGCGCAATGAGCATATGCAGCGCAAAAAAGCTCCCGCATAATATTACTCATGCTGTCTACTCACATATCTGCGTTTGATTTAATCGTACCTCTTAGAAGCAATGCTCGTTGCTAAGTTTATAATTCATACACATTATTGCATTACCATTATATTTTAATATTAAAGAAATAATTTTTCACTTTACTACTCTAAAAAGCTGGTAGTTTAAGAACAAGTCTATGAAAGATTGCCGGACATTTGATTTGATATGTCATGTTTCCTAAGCAGTGATCTAGAGAGTTTCTATAATACGAGTTTTTCTAAGTTCCAAGACCTAACTGTATAACTTTGCTCAATTAATTTTCTTAAGAATTTTGTGAGATTTCCGATATAAGTTTCTGATAGTAGTGCGGTATTCTAAAAACCTTTTTCAAGAATTGTAGCCCTATTGTTTGCTAAAGTTGGATGAGATGAACATTTTTTAATTCTTTCTCTTCTGCTTGTTTGAGTCTACAAAGATTATCATTAAGAATATTTATCCTACCAAGAATATAATATTGTCAATTTTGATCCTATTTATGTATAGCCAGATTTCATCAGTTTTGTTGCAAGTGTTCTCATTTTCCCAATTGAACTACTTCAAGAGGTTACTCGTAAAATTTTAGAAACTATTCAGAAAACAATTTTTCCTATATTCATTTGTATTACCAAAATTTTGACGTACACCAATTTATAAGTTGTGGTTTCGGTTACTGGTTTTGGATACTGTACTGTATGATGGTTTATCATTGCTCTTGAAGAGATTGAAGACATATTATTCATTATTTTTAAATACTTATATAGTTATATAGTTCCTTTCATATTGAATGGAAACTATTTTTGATAGTTTCTGAATTATCTATATAATTGGGTAAACAGAACTCCTTATACAACGAAATGGCTTAACACTTTGGATCACTCATTTTGATGGTTAGCTACATCACAATAAAAACCGTAATTAAAAGGTTTGGGATCCACTCCTTTGAAACTACTATTATAAATTAGTAACTTTCACATTAAAAGACTTTAATAATTACTTTTTCATAATATTTTATTCATTTTAATTGAGTTATTATTCACAAGTAGCAGAACTTCCCACTTACAAACAATTTGCACAAATAATTAGAACTTTTTAATTTATCATTTAATCACAGTTAATGCAAATGATAAATGACCAGTAAGCAATGGACCATTAATAACACACAGTCACAGTTGTAGGTGGTTAAAATATTTTCATACACTCCTCAACTGACAAGTGCACAGTAGCTTGAATAGAAAATTAAGTTATTTGTAATAAAATAAATCAAAATATCCCCGTGGCTGCTCAATTTACTTTCTTGTAAGACACTTTCGTTTAACAAATAGACAGACATTGTCTGGTTTGCATGCCAGCGTACGTAGTCGCATTTTTACTGCTTATAGAAAAGATCAACGACACTAGATACAAATGTATATTACAGATACTATTTGCTTTTTCTTATCGTTTGTTGTCACACGATTTTGCTGTTATAAGTGCCGATGCTGCTGCCAGCTACAAACTGTTGCTGCTGCAGCTGCAACTGCAACTGCATTGCCGTATCTGTATCTGTATTCGTTATATGATAATGCTTCAGTTGTTGATGCTGATGTTGATGCTGATGCTGATGTTGATGATGACGATGATGGAATGCATCTTTTCACATTGTTTGACTCAGAAATGGTCTTGGCAAATGCATTCTTAAGCGTTAAAAATGAAACGCACATTTTATCAGCTCAGTTTTAGTTATTTTTCCTTGCACAATCGTGTTTATCTGCACATGCAACAGCGACTACAACAAATTGTTGCAGTTAAAATTGCAGTTGCTATTGTTGTTGTTAGGCTTAGACTTGTACTTAATAACATCTAAGCTGCATTCATTAAAAATACTTAAGCGAGTTTAAGATACTCTTAAAGACACAATTAATTGAGAATAAATAACAACAGTTCTGAATGATACGTATAAGCTAAAATCTCTATTACTTGAAAGGAACGAAATGTGATTAAATATATAAAAATTGTTTAAGGTTCGGAATAGTTAAAATGAAACGTCAGGCACTTGTACTATCCTGATTACTTATAATAAAAGTTTTACTTTTTCGGACTTTTTTATAGAAATTTTTTAATAAAACTAAATTAAAAATTAAATTAAAAATTAAAAAATTAAAATTTTTTACTTACAAATTAAGAACTTGCTTTATTGGAATATCTTTCAAATTTACCTCCTTTCACAAGTAATATTAATCCAAACCCAAATGTTATGTTTATTGTGATATTGACGGTCCCCAGGGAATCCACCTAGACCTTTTAGCCCATTGTGTTACCATATAGAGAGAAAAACTCAGGGTTTAGAACCTTTGGCGAAGCTCAGAACGCTGTTTAGTAGCAAGTCTTGTAACTGAACAAGATCCTCAAGGTAGATTGCTCTTAAAGTGTTGTATCGCCGCCGTGTGTGAGCTGGACAAAGACAGAGTAGATGAGAGGCACCATTTCGTCTTCACTCCAGCTTGGACAGGTATGATTGAAAGGGAGATTCAATCTTCTAGCGTGGTTCTCTAGTTTCCAGTAGCCTTTGAGTAAACCTACCATAAGACTGATATCTCTAATGAGCATCTCAATGACAATATCGGATTTCCTTTTAGTGGAAAGTGGTCAGATTGCATACAGATGTCTGCATATCGTGAGTCTTCCCATTATTAATTAAAAATTATAACAAAGAAGGAATTCAGTAACAAAATGAAAAGTTCTGTTACTTTATTTATAATTTGTTGATTCATTATATCTTAGGTTATGTAAGAAATCCGTGACATTTCAACAGGCCATTATTTGTGCTTAAGTGAGTTTTGGTGCACTAAGCTGCCACTCCCACCTAACCTAGGTTATAACTAGTTGTGAATATTGCTTTGATATCAAAACATCTCGTAATAAATAATTGTATATTAATCAAAGTTAATAGATACTAAACTTTATCTAAGTAAAGGCTGCAGTTAGATATTATAAAATGTGGCTAATTTTAACTCCTTCATAGTAGTTCACCGTTTCATGAGAGTAAAGTTGCTTGCATTGAGTCACTTATTATTATTATTAACCAGAATTAAAATTAGTTTTATTATGTATTGTTTATTTTAAAAAATTACATTTAATTACCAGTAATTCTCTTCTCGTTAATGTATTTTCGCTTAAAAGTATTTCATTTACTATTTCTCAGAAAATTAAATTACTAAATGCAACAAACTTTCACTACGCACAACAATATAAGCGATATAATTGGTTATGAAGATTTGCTCTCACCTAAAAACGATGGACACGCATTTTTAGATCTGATAATCAACCAAACAAAAGTTTAAACAAATTGCCTGATATAATTATACAATAATAAACATTTTAACGGCTAATAAAAAATGAAGACTTAACAATTTCGCACACGTAATGAGTTATTAGTCGAGTCGATTTTATGAGATTCTAAAAACGGTTAAAGCGAATTGCAGACTTAAGATAGCTCGTAAGAAAATTAACTATATCTGCAGTAGTATGTTCTGAAGCTAGGCTTATGCATTTATTATTGCAGATAACATTATAGAAGCTTCGGTTCAAGAGCAGTTTGCAATTGTGTTCGCAGAGACTTCAACTTACTTTTGGTTCGAGCGGAACAAAATAAAAATGTGGGTTAGTGAAAAAATTGAAAAGCTTCTTGGAGTAAAACAGTAGTCGTCATCAATAACTACTGATATTAATTAGTTTATAATTTAGTTATGCACATGTACGTTTTATGGATTGCCAAAATATACTAGTAAATACTACTTCCTGATTGTATTTTTTGTAAAAACCAGAATTTTATGGTTATTAGTTATTGGATATTAAGAAGAAATAAACTAACCTATAGTTATTTCAGTATCTGAGAACTTCTTCTTGGCAAATCGAGATTCATTAATAATTTCTAATCTACTTACAAGTCGAAGTAGGGGCCTCTATCTAGAAAAGGGCAGCAACCAGAAGTAATTAAATTTTATGTTGACTGATTGGAAACATTTGTAATTTAGATGGTCGTAATAATTAAAAAACTCCTATCTTTACGTACATACGTAAAGATAGATGTTTGCCCTTACAAACAGAATAGTATTGAAATTTAACAATCAAAAATAAAAATATATAATTAATTAATTTAATTATTCTACAGCTGGTTTATGATGTCTTTCTAATATGAACACAGCAAAAGAATTTGTTAATAAAACTTTCACAACAAAGCAACAAAAGTCTAGAAAAATGTACGAACATAAAAGTCAAGTATGGCTTTAGGTCAGTAGGCGCTGACTCTAAGCTTCAAATTAGGCAGAACACGAGTTCGATTCCTAGTACTTGCAGTCTAAAAAAAAAAATTAATTACGAATAATTGAATACAAGAATTATTTTCAAGACCACTGATGATGGGTATTTGGCAATATTCAATTAATTAAAATTATGTCAAAAACAATTTTAAAAAAACTCTTATTAATTATTATTTGATATTGACGTTTTCATTATTCCGTACACTTTCTAGCATTTTGGTAGTATTAGCTGAAACTTTGACTTTTGTTTATTTCAAAACTGTGAACCACTTAGATTTTAAAGAGATTCAGTTCTTCGAGAATGGTTTCTTCCAATGATTTGTTTCGCCATTTTTTAATGCTATAAAGCTATAGAGGTTTAATTAATTTACATTAAAAAGTCGGTCGTTTCAGTTCTAAACCTATTTGATTATGTACCATAGTTTATAGTTTGTGTAGTTCTCAGTATAAAATTTTTATAAATTTTAAATGGAAAACCATTCACTATATTAATATATTCCTTCTCTTTTCAGATAATTCACATGAACCTTGTATATTGTTCGCCAGTATTTGGTATGTATAAGCATTAACAAATTATTTCATTTTTGCCTTATTTAAAAGTATTTAATTATTTTTTGACCAAAATTGTTATTATTGTATTTTATTGGGCTAATTGGTAAATTACTTTCAACTTTTGTTAAAAATAAAAATTAAACAAAAACAACTTAAATTATTTTTTTACTAATTTTTATTTAATTCAATATTTCGACAATTTTATTTAAAAGTTGAGTTATAGTTCATATCTATAATTTTTTGTTTTTGAAATAAATAAAATACCATAATGTATAAATAGTTTTACTTCATTTCTGAAGTTTATTTGAGAAGTTCTACTAAATATTCACTTTCTTGAAGCTACTGAAGTTTAAAAAAATAATTATATACGTATTTAATTATTATATATTATATTACTAAATTTTTGAAATATTTTATTTAGCGAATAAGTTTTCTTAATTAGTAAAAATTATATAGGAATCCTAGCAAGGTCTTTAGGTTAAATTATAATTTAAAAAAAATTTATATATTTTGCATGGAAGTGAATGAAACCCTAATATATGTATTGGGAATTGACACTGATGTATAAACAAAAGAAATACATAGGTTGGTATCGTATACGGAAGGGCTGTCCAGACCAGATGTGATCGCGGATCAATACAAATCAGTGTACAGATTGTAGAGTCGCAGAAACAAATATCATAGTTCACAATTGTTTTGGAGAAAAATAAAAATACGGTTATAATGTTAAATTTAGTTTTATCAATTTATCAATTTAAATTAATTTATTTGGTATACCATAAAAATTAAATACGAGTTGAGCCTTTTCCAAGTTAGTGCATCTGGGCACTTTTACTCATTGAGAACTGGGGGGTTTCTGCGGAATCCCACCCATCTCACTGACTAATTTGTGTGTTCCTCATAAGCTTCGTGATTATTCAATGACTGATCTAAGATGTACGTACCGCCCCGTGCGTAATTGTAGTAGATTAAAAATATGTCGCGGGCCGCACAAACATTAGCCGCGGGCCGCATTTGGCCCGTGAGACGTGCTTAGGACAGTCCTGTTACACAAGATGAAATAATACCACACGCTAAAATAGGTTCAGCACTAAAACTTATTACAGAAATTGAACTCGGAAAAATACTCTGAGTTCATGTAGGACTTTAAATGCCATATCTGGCCTTTTGTTTTTATTGATAGCTTAGTTTAGTGTGTAAGGTATGTGTAAGTGAAATGAAAGAATTTACTTTAAAATTGATTTTTTTTAATTGTATTTCTTTGAAACACAAAAACTTCTACAATTAAATTTACCATTGTAATTTGGATGATTTCAGTATCTGACCTAATCACTCCACTAACTATTATTGAGCTCATATTAAATTTTCCTTTAAATTTGATTAATTAAAACTATGCGAAATTGATAAGTTAAAGTAATTTTTTTAATTAATTTTATTTACAATTTTCTCTGCTTTCTTTAATTTATTTTACATGACATAAACAACGTTCATTTGAAGTTCGATTAATTAGATACGATTCATATACTCGCAAATATGGGATTTGCCTTCCACAATATAAATAATGGGTCTATAAATATTTACTAGTGCAACTGCATTAATTTTTAAGTAGAATTAAATTAACAAAGATTTTAATTAAATTTTAGTATCTTGCAATGTAACATAAATCCGAACAGGGTTTCTACTCAAACTGTTTGATTTTGAATTTATTATCGCGCTTTCCTTGGTACTTGTACTTTCGGCCTTTAAGCAGTTTAAGTCTCTCTCATTGTAAGCCAGGTTAAATCAATTTTTTTCTTTTTCCAATTTTTTGAATTTTTGTTTTTTTGTTTTTTTGTGATAACGGCAAACTTTTGTTTGGTAATAAATACGTTTTATGTGCGATCATTAATTTGAAAGAATCTGTGCTGTATTCGAACTTATTCTTGCCGACACACTGTATCTGGAGCGCTCATTTCTTTGCCCCTGCAAGGTTCTAAACTCTTTTATATTATTTCGGTTTTATTATTGGGCCAAAAATTTGGTATGTACCTTTGCGTGCGCCTGTGTGTGGCCAACAACGTTTTTTCTTTTGGCCATTAATTCATTTTAGCCATGCTATGGATGCTGCAGATACACATGGGCATATGATATGGGCATATGTGTTTGTATGCATGTACGTATGTTCATCTTGTGCTGATAATAAATTGAATTATTTATTAAACGCTGAACTTTGCGTTTTACTGAATTTTTTCCAGCTCGGCTGTAAGTCCCTTTAGGCGTAAACGATTTGTCTTTGGTTAATTTTCGTAACATTTTCTTTTCAACTTAGTTATTTTTTATATTACGATTTTTGGTCTTTGATATTTACAGCGTAATAAAGTAATTAAGGTATGACAATGAAATTTGTTATGGTAAGATTAATTGAGATTTTTTGACGAGCACCATTTTTATTATTGGTTTTTGGCAATTTTTTGTTGTGATCAATATGACTTCTGCAAACTCGGAGCAGTGAGGAAACTCGGACCGTTTTGTTAGTTTAGGTTGATACTGAATTTTTGAAAAAAATGCAATTAAAAGAAAGATAAACTTACACTGATTATAATAAATTCCTTTAGAAAATTCAAAGAAGTTGAATGAAACAAACTATTATTGTATATATTGTAACTATCTAAAATTTATCCAAAAGTGATAATTTTCAAAAATTTATCTTCTTCCAAAACCATTTGAATATAGAATAAATTAGTTAACTGCAATGAAAAAATATATATATCATAATGTTTAATGCATAAATACTGGTATATGGATATGTAGCATTTAGCAAGGCCTCAGACACTACTATTCGCCAGCTAGAAATTGTATAAAGTCAGGCTCTGAGAAGACTTTTCAAAATACCATGGTACATTAGGACGAACGACATCCTCAGTGACCTCAAGATTGATCCGATCAAAAAATACATAAAGGATGGAGCCCTAAAATTATTTACGAAAATAAGGCTTACCAACACCTCGTTATCGAACCTCAGAGTGGTTACAGGCTCCTCGGGGAGGTATGCAGAACTGAGGTCAATTATTACTTAGTCTGATAAAGTGATAAACAATAATCCAGTCAAGGCGTAGAGAGGGGTTATAAAGAAACTTCGCAGTTAATAGAGAGTAAAAGTACTCAAGTGCATTGACTCACCTAGCCTCAATATAATAATAAATAGTTAATATTTAATTTGAACAAATAGTAAATTTGAACAAATAATTTTATTTAGATAAAATTTTGTGGAGTTCCAAATGACTACAAAATCACATGTGAAATAGTTACGGTTATAAATATTTTAATCTGTTTTTGATTACTAAATATTCAACGTATTATTTTCTTTGACAATGATCAAAATTTAGTAAAGGAACTTAGAGCAAAGTCATATAGAAGGACGGATGTTCAGTCTTATATGGTGGTATATTCTAAAAAAATGAATTCATAGAAAGCTTTGGACAACTTGTATAAAAAAGAAAATAGATAGCAGAATTAATATTTCTTCATATTTTTAAATAATTTGAATTTAAGATTATTCAAATTTTTTTATCTCTTCAACGTGCAAATATTTTTTGACTTTTCGACTTTTAAAAAATTTATAATTCGATATTTTTTCTGTTTTCATTTTTTCGTGGTCAAAATTAATATTTTTGAATCAATTTCTGCAGTTAGTGCAAAACATATGGTATTTTAATAAAAACATACCACTACCTAAAAATTTAAAACATATCAAATATCAAAATATTTGATAAATTCAATAGATTAACCTTAACTACTTTTAATATTTATTACGCATTTCACCAAAAAAGTATCGGAAAGGCAGATCAACTTTTATTAAAACGTTAGTGTTAGTTTCAGCTTCAAAGTAAGTTCCATTTGATGTAAGATACATCAAATCTTTCTAATCTATTTCTAATCTTGAAAAATCCTCTTATCAGTGCACATCGATGTAATCTTTAACTACTTTAAAGAATGTTGCTTTGATTTAAATTTTGAGCAGAGGACTAACCAGCATCCATGAAAACCGCTTTCTACCTATTTTTAAAACATTTTCTTAAAACTTAACGAGGTTTTTCGAAAAGTAGTGAACTACAACAACAAATATTCTTTTTATATTATTTTAATTAATTGAATTTTTGGCTGACCATACAGCTGTTTCGAGTATTGCGAAATACCCATCATCAGTGGCTTTGGAAATAATTCTTATCCTTAATTATTCGTAAAAAAATTTTTTTAAACTCCAAGTACCAGGAATCGAACTCGTGTCCTGCCAAATTTGAAGCTAAGAGTCAGCACACCTTAACCAACTGACCCAGAGTCGTACTTGACTTTTATTTTCGCACATTTTTCTGAAGTATTGTTAAAACTTAACTTTATATTTCACCACCAATTAGGTTTAAGCAAGTAACTGTGTTGCATTCGCAACATGAAGACAAAAAGTTTTGTCATTCATGCTTAGGAACATTTAAAGCAACACTTTTGTTGCGTCAAACATCTCAACATCAAAATTGTATATGCATGCATGCATCTTTTTATTCCATTTATTGTTATTTAAACATTAATTATTTTGACATTTTTTGTAAATATTTAAAGTTTGAATGCCAATCTCTTGCGACTTTTTAACCCCATTCTCGTGTTTGAGCTCGTGAAAAGAAACATTTCTTTGATTAAAAATTATTTCTTTATACAATTAAATATAATTATTAAGTTTCAAGTTGTCTGTTGACTGTTGGCTGATGTTCGTAGTAATTTGTTAATTGATTAAGTATAATTATCGAAATGCCAAAAAAGTATCTTAAAGAAATATTATCATTGATCGCAGAAGTGGGTCAAGATGACAGAGAAACTTTGTAACGACCGCAGCAATTATGTTGGAAATTGTTGAAAACTGTAATTAGCAAAGAATTATATGGCGAAAACTAAACAAAAATTAATGTTTAAATAATCATTATCTTTTTATACTCATTATTAATTGCTTCTAATAGATTTATTTTAATAGA